ATTGTGGCAACACTGCGCTCTACGAGGCCGCCGCAGCCGCCTGCATAGACGCCGAGAGTAAGCATTTTATTTAATAATATTTCAATTATTGTAGAGTTTGAGACATTAAAGTGGAATCATGTGACCTAAAGTAGCATTATATTTGTAAAGAATTGGTACTATCAGGGAAATTGACGGTATTCCTCCTTAAAAGACAGTCGTTTGAACAATTGCCTATAGGACGTAGCTTTTGAATATGCCTTTAAAGAAATCTCTCAGTGATACGCGACTAATTGGAGCGCATTTTATCACGGTGCAAGAAACAAGGCAATTTTTCTACAAATGGAATACCGCGTACATGCCTGACTGTACTTAATTATTTTTTACCTGTACTAATATTATAAAAAGGAATGATATGATTGTTTACATTGAATAGACTCCAAAAGTACTGAAACGATTTAAAATAATACTACTAGGAAACTACACTATGACCGGGTGACATTTTTATACCGGCTTTAGATTTACTTACAATTTTATTTTATTATGTTCAACTGTACTTAGTAAATTTAGCGTAAGAGTGAAATTAAAAAATGATTTTTTGTTGATTTTTAGTGTTCCGTACATCATAGGAAAAAAACGGAACCCTTATAGGATCACTTTGTTGTCCGTCCGTCTATCAAGACCCTTTTTTTATACATATTTTACTTTGGTGTCTCAAACTATACTTGTACTGGTTTAATTATATTTAATTAATAACTAAGTTATTGTTTATACAATTATTTCAGAAAGTGGCAACAAATCCAAAATAGCTATGAAATATTTGAAGACAATAGAAACATTAATTAAACTAGGAGCTGATCCAAGTATAGAAAATTGTTCCGGCAACTCTGTCAATCATTTGTTAAATGAAATAAGTAACAGAGAGTTGTCGATGTTAGTAGCAAATACAATTGTCTCATTGAAATATTCGGATTGCGATAGTGATGTGAAGAAAGATTTTAAATCATTCATGTTGGTTAAAGAAAATAGTGATGTGAATTTAATAGGATTGAATAGTGAAAAAATTCAATTAGCAACAAACGAAAGTGTTAAAATTTCACCCATAGTAAGACAAAAGATACCGTCTCGTAAAATAATACCGATAGATAAAAACGATTTTATTAAAAAAACATCATCCAAAATTAAAACTCATGTTATAATACCATATGATAATGCAATTAAACGTAAAGCTGTTGACCAAGACGGTGGTACTATAAGTGTTTTACCTGAAATAAAAAAAAATAAAAAAATAAAAAATATAATAATCGTACCAGCACCGTGTGGTAGTGATTATGTGAAAAATATAAAAAATATAACAGCTATAAATAATCTACAATCGAATCCAATACAAACGAGAAAAATCTTAAAAGTGTCAAAAATAGATTTAAATAATGCAATTAACGCTTTAAATGTTACAAATGCAAATGTTATAGGAAATAATGTTATATCAATAAGCAATACAACGGTTAAAAAACCTCAAAGTACAAGTGAATCAACTAATACCGCTTTGCCGATAAAAAAGCAAAAAAGAGATATACAAAATGAATAGACATTTTTTACTTTTCAATTTCCATCCTCAAAAAAAATATATGAAAGTATAATAATGTTATAACATGACCAGAAATTAAAAAAAAATCTCACAATAATTCGGCAAAATGTAGAAATTTCTTCTATACTTTTAGAACTTAATGTAATATGAAAGAAGTCATTACAGATTTTTTTCTGGTCAAGCAATACTTTGTTTTGATGAGAATGTCAAATATATATACATTTTTTATTTGTGTTACAGTTTGCTCTTTGCACAAATCATAATATAGGATTTTTTTAAATCAATCTTTTTTATGTTTATGTAATATGTATATAATGTATTATAAGTTTTTTTATATATTTTGAAATCCAAAAAAATCTTATGCTTGTTGAAAAAAACATTCATCGTTTCCTTTACATATTCTTAATCATAATAATGAACACATTTTATTAGTGATTTTTTTTTAATTATGCACTTTGGATATTCCATTGCCTGCAAATTATACCTACGTAGAAATTTTATTTAAATACTTTTTTGTAATTGTAAAGTTAAGTTGTAAAATTGACATTTTTTAATTTTTTCAAAAAAATACATCTTGAAAAAAATAAAAAATGCAATGAAGTAAAAGCTAGGTCTTTATAATGTAAAATATGTGTATCTAAGTGAGAAGGATATAGCCAAAGGGAAGGGGAAGGACTGCTATACCCTTCCTTGATCTTAGCGACGTCCTTGCTCAGTGTGACCCTTATATAAATAAGTACCTGGACTTTTTAAATAAACGTCAAGCCACTCAAAATGGCTGAGTACTTTCAAAAGATTGTTAATTTTTTGTTTATTCCGTCGTGCTAAAGACGAAAACTGTTTTTCCTCGTCAAAGGGACGTTAAGATTTAATAAGATCACGTTACAGTTACGGTATAAAACTGTATGTTTGTTTTTAAAGTAAAAAAAAAAACGCGCAAGACGTGTTTTGTGTTTTTTTTTAAATTACTCTCTGGTGCATAGATTAATGAAATTATTGTTTTATTTTATGAAGAAGCACGTTTAAAAACTCCACTATTACTCCTTTGAGGGAAATTTCGTTGTCAAATTATGTTTACTTGGTCATTTTGACCATAGTTATGATGATCAAATTTTTTTAATTAAAAAAAAATCACATATGTGGTTCGAAATGATTTTTAGATAAATTGTGGTGTGCGAAATGTATTTGTAAATTATTTTTTTGCTTTTTTTTTCATTTTTTATTTTGACAACGGATGTCATTGGAAGGTTTTAATCTGAATGATTACGGGTAAAATTATAGTATATTTTTAGGATGTATTGTCAACATTTTAAGAGACTAGCGTTATATATGAGTATTTAAATTAATGGGACATTTTTATTGAAAACATGTACTTTTTTTATTTCTATTTCATTACAAAAGACATATTTTTAATAATTTCTGATATAAACGTTTTTCTGATATTTTTTCTTATGACCAAATGATTTTATTGAAATACATCATTAAAATATATTTTGTTATTTTTATATTTATTAAAAAAAATTAACCTAAATTAGTTTTTATTCACAACTATTTTAGACATTATTAGTTAGAATCATTTGGCGTGAATGGCGCGCTTACATTGCCAAGTGTCAGAATGATTAGTGAGGGGACATAAACGTCGACATTTTAGCAAGGCTAGTGCTGTGCCAGTACACCGGCACAGTGTCGGATTTTCTTCCTAACACTATATATTTTAATGGTTGTATTTCATTATTTAAATAAATTTTAATGTATTGTTCATTAAATTGTAAAAAAAAAGAATTTATATTATGAATGCACAAACGTTGTAGAGTCTCAACAAAAATGTTAGTTTAGGAAAGGAAGAGGGAGGTAGAGGAGGGGCTTTTATCATCACGCATTTCATTACAGTATTTGTATTTAACAGCATAATAAATTTTTATCGTTTTTTTTAATTCAAAAGTTACGGTAGATAATATTGATATGATAAATAATATTAGGATATTAGACATCTTTTTAAGGAAATAAAAATAATTAAGACGTCAAAATTACCTAGTTTAAATATTTATCACTGCCCATATCATCTACCTCTAAAAGTAAAAAAAAAATGCGTAGATCATATCATAATTTTGTCTGTGTTGCGGACATTTTAAAACATGCTGTATCTAATTAGGCATAGGATACAGTGAACTTGACTACTTACAAATAAAAAAAAAAACTTTATGATATCATTAGAGCCGAGTACTGCATTATTGTACCCGAGTAGTTGTTAGTTTTAATCAATTGTCTTTTATCTTTGTATTTTGGTTTATAATTTTGTAATTTTAAATAATTTATGTATGTGTCTAGTTCAAATAATCTTGTATAACAATATAGTTTGTGTATATGTGGAGGTCTTATATTTATAAGAATCATTCAGGTTGTATATATTTTAAATAAATGTTATAAAATTACATCAATTGAACTATAGACCCACAAATTTATCTGACCCGGTATTTATAAGTGAATAACTATAGCACACGAGTAGTAGGTAATTTTTTGTTGAAAAACGTTTATAGTTGTTTTCTAATATATTGGCGGCTCAAGGTCATCGGAGCTGCGCAGTACCTTTCCCTCCGCATTCCGCTACGCCCCAACACTAACATTACCTTCTGCGCAGTAACTCGCGCGAATTTAAGAGCCGCCGAGATGTCTGATAATTGCTTTACACATTTTTAAAATAACTCAGGCTTTACCGCCTCACACCGGGGCCAGATAAATTTGTCGCACTAAAACTGTGAGCAAGTGACTCATGTCACAAGCACTGCTGCGTTAATTGTCCGCCTTCCAAAATGCACTGTATTATTGTTAATACTTTCTCGATTCAATATATCATATAAATCAATATTAAATGTGCTTGTTTAGTTTGTAATGCCATGTATTATGTCTAGAAAAATAAAAACTTAATATGGATTCTTTATTTCATATAACCCGAAACATACGTGGTGTATATTCTTATCTAGAAAAAGAAAAAAATAAATTATGTAACTTACACCTTTATTTATTTACATTAATGCATAATTTTAACATTTACACACGTTAAACAATTAATGAAAAAAATAAGTACGGAATTTGAGCAATAAAATATCTTTAAATGGCAACACTTAAGATGTCTACAAATTTAAAGTTCACATTAAAATTTTACATCTTTAATTTTTTAGTAACATATCAAAATGTTGCCATACATACAAATTAAAACACACAAAAATATTTTAGTAACATTTTTGTCAAACTTGAATTAATAAAGTGGCCACAGATTATATCGTAGGAAGTGTCCATACAGATTAATTTACATTATCCTAACTAGTACAAAAATATTGTCTTTTTGTGTAGATTATGAGATTCATGGTGGCAACACCAAATGTGTTATTTATACCAGCATTTCCGGCTGTCAGCCATTTTATATATATTTTTTTACAACATACGACTTAGATTCTAACCAATCCGCGTTTAAGACTACGAATAGTAAAATGGTAAAAGAGTTAAAAGTACGCCTAAAAATAAAAGGACGGACCCACATTAGACTAGTAGATATCGGTAATATGGTCGTACTAACACAAAATTTATTTTTAATATTAATAATTGTCAAGGTCAAATTATTAATTATGGAATGTGAATTGTAACGTAACGCAAGAAAATATTCCCGTTGATATTTAGGTCAAAATTAGCTTACTTATGACTATTTACGTACGTTTTGTCCTAATTTAAAATTCAAATTAATAGTATTTTATTTACTTTTGATTATAGCGTGACAAGTAAAAGTGATAAAATAATATGCAAATTTAAAACATAACTTTGTATTTAAAAAAAAGTTAAAAAAAAGGTATTTTTAGGTGACAGATATTGGCCGATTTGTTACTTGTTCTATGCTAAATTAAAAAAAAAATATATTGTCTGCACTTCATCTAAGTTACTAGAAATTTATAGTAATATTTACAAGTTGTGATATTGTTATAATGATTGTTTAATGTCATAAGAAGTTTGTCATTAAAATGAAATTACTTTTCAAATGTCGCATGCAATTTTTACATTGAAAATGTTTTATTCTAAAATTTGTTCAATATAAAAACATTATCACAATCGTCGATGTAAGAGACTAAAATATATAAAAGGAAAAAAGACTTATAGCAAAAATAATAAGGTGGTACCTACACAAGTAAAAAATGCTAATATTTACTTATCCCTATTCCCCCACTGCAAGTCACCGACGGTTAGATTTGTAGGATGTAAGTATTAAAATATATTGCTATAAAAAAACGGCTACTCTGTGAATATGTCAAACTGACAAACGTAAATGTCACTTTGACATTTCGATTATAAAATAAAATTTGTTAAGAATTAACTAAAGTACAATTAAGAGTTCGTTTTATGGAGTATTCGCCATTTTCCTTCTCTAGTTAAAAAAAAAACAGTTTATGGTTCTAGACAAACTGGCTTCCAATAAAGTTGCAAATAGTAAATTACCAATAAATTGATAATTTTCATTTAATTAAAATATTTTCAAATGGAATCATATTTTTAGCTTAGGTAATGTTTATAAAAAAATAAATTATTCTATCGAAGATGTCAAATCTCGGTGTCAAAAGTCTATGGTTCTTTTGTCTTTGTGAGATGAATAAGAAGTAAGAATGTCTAAAACCTATCATCGTCAGTCTCAAGACATTTTGTATGAAAAAATAAATTGTCATTTAATTAAAATATATGTAGACAGGTTATCTTCTGTTGTTGAGCTCGTAGCCGTTCTCTTTGCCGGGGGTCTTTGCGGGCGGCGCCTTCGCCACCGCGTGACCCTCCAGCCTCAACGTGCTTTGCCGGTGTGATGATCTGGAGATACAATTACAATCATCTAACTACTAAGATAAAACTTGTCAAATACATATTTATATAGTACGATTGCCTTCAAGTTGGTCTTAATATGGTAAACTGAACAATAGATTAATTGAGTAACTAGCCGACTATTGGTTAATTGAAGATTAGATATCTTTTAATAATAATTAAAAAAATTAAAAATAGCAATTAAAAATCTTTTAATAATAATTAAAAAATTAAACGATAGAAGATGCACAGTTCAGTAGTCACTAGTACTGTGGTTGTGACGTACTGATGTTTCAAAATTTTAACTAGATGGCGTTATTCTCAATCTCTCGACCGTTAGCTTCTTTAAGTAGATACTGAGGAAAAAATCATTTATAAATCCTTGCAATGTGTTAAGGGAGGAAAAGGGGTGTCGGATTATTTACCTGATAAGGCATGTGACAGCTAGCAGTATGAGCAGCAAGCCGAGCGCGGAGAGCCCCCAGCCCAGCGCCGAGCGCGCCACTGGCGGCACTCGTGTTGCCAGCCGCAGCAGCGAGGACACCTGCTCCGGCAGCTCGTTGATGCCCTGAACATATTACGTTGACTCATCATTCAAAACATATGTAGTTTTTGTATCACTATTTGTACGTTGAAGATAAATTAACCTCTCCGGTTTTAATCCGAAATAGATAGATGGCGCTGTCACAAAAAATGTAAATAATAGTTAAAGATAAAAGTTATTCTCACCTCCTCGAACCAAAGTATAGGGAAGACGATATCGGGGAAGTTGGCGACCTGCTTGATGTCCACGACCTGAGACACCGCCAAGTTGATCTGAATACGAGCGCGTGCTCGCATCGCTATACCCATCTCCTGTTGCCAACAAAACAATGCCTTCAAAACAACGTACATGTCTCATTTATTACATACTAGGTGTCACCCGCGACTCCGTCCACGCAGATTACAAAAAACTTAATAAGTAGATTATGTGTTCTTCCAGACTATGTTCTATCTGTTCCAAATTTCATAAAGATCCATTGAGTCGTCTTGAAGATACCTTCAAACATCCATCCATCTAAACTTTCGAATTTTATTAGTAAGAAGTAAGATTAATATAATAGTATAATAGCATTTTATCACAGACTTATAAAACTTGAGAATAAAAATATATGTTTTTGAAAGTAATAGTTTCTTTGTTAATAAAAACATACCGGTTGTACGTCGATGTAAAGTCTATGTTTCTCAGGCACAGGCGGGGAGATGCCCTCCACCGCGGCTCGCAGGCTCTCGTCCGCCAGGTAGAAGTGGGGGAACGACAGCATTATAGGGGAGTCTGGAAACAATGACGTCACAAAATCAAGAAAGAAATGCGTTTCCAGTTGTTAACCCTCAGACACGTCTTCGTGTTTACCTCCGATGACATTTTCAAAGCTCTAGATGAGATAAGAAAATTCAATAAAAAAATAGAAAGAAATTAGGATGCAGCAACTCCCACGTCCCGTCTTCGTAGTTATTCCTTGATCAAACTACCAATTTCAGTACAATTTTTGTACAATTCCAAGCATCAGCCGTTTTAATAAAATATATTTGGCGGCACAAAATCATCAGCACCTAGTTCCTGTTTTTTTTCTTCTTTTTTTTATATTATATGTTACTGTTATGTCTACTCACCGTACTGGCAGAGTGATACATTGAAGAGTCCGTGCGGTGCGCAGGGCGGGCCGGCGGGACAGAAGCACTTGTTGTGCTCGTCCGCTGCGAACACGTCCTCAGGCGGCGTGAACCTGTACCCCTGCACGCCAGCCTTGGACTCCACTTCCTGAAGGAACCTGAAATTATTTGTGGCTTGTAAGACATACGTTTAGAATGGTTATCCTTCTTAAAAATGAGAACTGCATTGGTGTTACTTTACAATTAATTAAACTTTAAATCCAAAAAATGACAAAAGCAATGTAATAGAAAATAATCAGACAGAGTAACTCCTAGACAAATCGGCGGTTGACCCAGAGAAAAAGTGAAAATATAAGTTATGGGTTCATTTCTTTATAAGTGAAGAGGGCAAACGAGCAACGGGAACACCGAAGTGTTCACGTCCATGGACATCAGCACCAGAGGAACAACATGCGTTGCCGGCCTTTGAGATGGTGATACTACCATGAATTATTTCTTGTTTCCAATCATTTCTTATCAGAGATACCTTAAGAACCTTTAAACTATTGAATTAGTAAATCGAAGTGTACGTTTGTACATAAACAAAGGTGTGCGAGTAAAGGCATTACCGTACAATAGAGTTTTAAGATGCTATTGTTGTGGTTAGTACGGACGTCTGTCGCTTGACTCACGACTCTTTGTCACGCTGTTTATTGTTTTGACTCAGCTATGGATATTTGTTGATACTAACTTGTATAATCAAATAGGAATTGACGTGACTAATAAAATTAATTTGAAATTTAATAGATTTCCCTATTATATTCCTCGTTTTTGTTGTTTTTGTGTTTGTTGTTTTAACAGTGGTAGAGCCCGCTTTAACATCTTCGCACGAATCGGCCCGGCTCGCCCGGTGAAATACCACGACCACACAGAAGACAGGCGTCAAGTGGAAGCAATTCCGCGTTTCGACTGATGAGTGTGCGTCCCGGAGGCCCAATTTAGTCCTTTTTTCCTTCCCACCCTTTTTCTTATAAGGAAGGATGGGAAGATGGAAGTAGACTTTCCGGATGAGAGGATGCATGAAAAGGGAAAATATTTTTTATCCGTACATACTCTCCTCGGACGGAGGATATATATATGAATAATGATTCATAAACACCAACACAAAGCATTAGAATCTTTCAAATTTGGTTTAATTAGTAACCTAAGAAAAAAGCTGATTTATTTTGACTAAATTTTTCCTCGGTTAAAAAAACAGTTGACTAGCAATACTAATAAAACATAAAGAAACTTTTTTAAGTGAATGCTAGAAACATATTATAATATCCTGCATTATCACGTTGTAACGTGGAAATTGACGTTTTGAGTTGATGTTTCGCGTTAGGTTACGTTTGGTGGTGTTTATGTAACGCGAGTCTCACGGGAGTCAATGCGCGGCCATTGTTCTCGACCCGAACGTTGTTGTGACTTTCGCGACAGGGAAACAATTATTGTTTGTAGATTATGTTTATGGAAGTTTTTTTTTTGTAAATTTGTTTATAAATTATCATTGTATGTGACAAGAGATTCTTTCCGGTTTCACACGAACGAATGACTCCACATATTTAATATTATAAATTTTGATAATAAAATACGTCTTTCCCAATTTATTTGCGTCCATATAAAAAGAAAGCGCTATTCCCTTGTATTAAGGTTCTTCTTCCTCGGAATGTGTGAACTTACCTAAGTGGTAGAAGTCTGCAGAGATCCTTGTCGTAGACCATGAGTGTGTCGTTCTTTGTGATGTGAGGCGGAAAGATTGAGCCGTCGGAGCCAGCAATGCTGTTGCACTCGTCTGTCGTCCAGTGAGGAAGACGCTCTCGCATATTGTACCTGAAAACATAACAAACTATGCTACAGCTTTCCTTTCTATTATCATAAAATATGTGCAGTCAAAGAAATAAATTCGCTACCCACACATTATTGAATATGATACAACATATTGTCATAACCAGAAACTATAATTAAGCAAGTACGTTACTGACATCATTTCAATGAAATTTTATAGGAAATTTACTTCCTAGACTGTACATTAAAAATGTTTAACACACCTGTCGAAGATGCCGTAGTGTTCCATGTCCTTTGCGCCGGAAAACATGGTCACTATGTCTGGGGAGGTGCCGTTTTTCTGTGAAAAATAGTATTTTCAATGTTAAATCATATTTTTAAATACCATAGTTTCTTTAAAATATAATCTCAACGTAAGATGAGGTATATTAATAAATCAATATAAAATGTTAGACTGTTTATATCGTTTCTTTGTTTGATACTCCATTTTTGACGACAACTGAAGAGTTAATTATGATCAGTAATCCATTATGTATGAACTTAAAACACCCTGAAATTTAATTAAGAGTATGCTTACACCATAGAAAAGTCCGAATTCCTCATAAGGCAGCTTCTGTTCCTTGGGTACGACATCCTTGGCGAGTTTAAGCAGGGGGTCCTCGTAGCCCCATAATAGCTGGCCCACAGACACCGCGACGAATGGTTTGATCTTCAGAATATCCATGATAGATGCCATGGCGAGACGAAGGAATCGTGCTGCGTGTTTGGACTGGGATGTAGCGCTCTGGGAAACAAGGAACGTACATTTAACTAGATAAACGAATATTAAGCAAGCAAGGACCTACTACATAAATTAATTTCTCACCGTGGGTTTCTGAGCTTGAAATCCCGCTTAAAAACATTATTATCAGAAATCTGAGATAATATCGCCAAAGATAATGACAGGGATAACGATATAAACCATTTATACAGAGGTTTTGATCTTTCAAAGCGAGTAACAGTCACACTTTTATTTCTAAACTCTGTCTCTGTTTTGTCAAAGAGAATGTAAGGGATGACAACATGTAATAAAAGTATTACTGCAATGCGGTAATACAACTATGAATGGATAGACACGAGACAATCGCTCTTTACCTTTGTATCGAGATAAATAAAAAATTATAAGAAATGTACTTCAGGTCACACATCCCTATGATTCAACGAGTTATTTTCCACTACAGTTTCGCAGAAAAGGCTGTAGTCACGATTCGAGTACGTGATTATTGCTACTACACGTTTGTTTAAGATGGGAACCTGTTACTCCTTTTACTACCTTCATTTTGTTTTTTGTCCATAACGACTTTTTTACGCGACTATCCATGCGTGGCTACTATACAATAAAGAATTCAATTTTAAAATCAGACGACCAGGAATTATGTTTTTTCCAGATAATTAGTATCAAGTATACTTAAGTAGTATACTTAACAGAAATACTTGAAAAACAAAAGCTCACCTCTACCTGTAAGTTAAATAAAAAACCCGCTTTGAAGTCGACAAGTCACGAGTCACGACTTCCTGAGATGAGACCTTGACTCGTGTGATAAGCACAGGCGAAGGTTGTCATCGTGTCTTCACGTAAAGCATCTTATCATAATCTCTATGGTGTCCTAGTACTTAGCTTAAGGTACAGTTAAAGAAAACATGATATGGATATTACTGGCCGTATAATTTACGAGTTATTATTGATGATCTGCTTGTCCCGAATATATTCTACTACAACTTTATAATTACTCAACTCTTTCCAATAAGTAAATGAATATATATATTAAAATTTGCAGCTTTTAAAACACCGTATAACTTAGGTCATTTATCCATACTGTTTTAATATTATAAAGAGGAAATATTTGATTGTTTGCATTGAATTGGCTACTAAACTATTGAATCTGATTTGACAAATTCTTTCACTATCTGAAGGCTACACTATTCCTGAATGACATATACGCTATATTTATTACTGTTTTTTAAATTCCGCGCAGACGAAGTCGCGGGCATTTGCTAGGTTTTTTTAATTAGTAAAAACGAAACTGAGACTGGTCGCTAATTATTAACATGTTTTTAACGTCACGTGTTCATACTTTACATTTAGGTTAATTTACATTTAGTGTAGCTATTAAAAAAATCTTTTCACTAATTTTCGAGTTGTTACAGAACAGAAGCGGGTCAATTGCGGTTTTGCACTCGTTCGTAACTTCCGCCATTTACGTAATCGAAAATTTCGTACGCTTTGTGACCCGTCTCATAATTTCGGTGATTTACATGTAGTAATATATAATAATGGCCCCCAAACACATATCTGACCACCAGTGAGAATGGCGCTGTTATCGCGGTTAGTTTTGTATGGAAATAATTATTATTACGACAAAAAAAACAACTAACATATGACAAAATTGCTGCTTTAGTTACACTTTTGCCTAAATCGCCAAATTACTTTGTCGCTCGGTATATTATTACGCTATTACTAAAATTCTAATCATATGGGACTAAAGAATTTGAATGGGATGAGTAATCTTTTAGTTGGCATGTCACATCTAAATTTATTACGCAAAATAAATTATAGTATAAAAAGCACACAAGCAATCGCAGCATCCGCTCCTTGACAATATTAAGCAGTAAATTGAGTTTAAAATGAAATGTTTGATAGATAAATTTGTTTTGACGTCATATTTACTGCTAAACTAGCAGTCGCCATTATAAATATAGGATTTGATTGGTCAGTCTGTGAACAGACGTGTATAGAGATCGTGCAAACGTTGCGGAGAACCAATTAACACGCCTGTGTTACTTCGCTTGCGCTAAATGCTTACCTACCATTACTTTGAATTTTAATCAAACATTTTGACACGTATTTTTACCTGAATGACTGGATAGCTAATATTTATCGCACATATGTATCATCATCATCAGCTCACTACACGTCCTCACTGAGGGGCTCGGAGCCTACCCTAAGTTAAGGATGGTAAACTTGTATATATTTATAAATATGCCTTTTACACTTATACAATGTACTTTTTTGTTTAACTATACATCGAAGCTGTGTATAGGCTTTGTATTTAAAGACTAGTTGCCGCCCGTGACTCCGTAAGCATGGAATAAAAAAATACTTAATAAGTAGCCTATGTTCTTTCAGACTATGTTCTACATCTATGCCAAATTTCATCCAGATCCGTTGTGCCGTTTCGGAGATACCTTCAAACAAACATCCATCCATTTAAACATTCGCATTAGTAAGAATTAAGATTATATGTCTTCGTATAAAAACCTAGTACTTTTCAATTGTACGCATAAAAGAAAAATATCAAAGACAATTTTTTACTGCATAAATTTTGATGTTATTAAAAAATTTAAACAAATCTTTTATTTATTTTAAGTCGATGAACAAAAATGAAATCCGTCTGTCCGTTCATCGATCTTTGGCCGGTGGCGTCGGCGAGTTGTATGCATAACGGTCTATGATCATAATTTATTCGTCTTGTGTACCGCTACACTCTGGACTTGACTATGGGTGTGGATCGTTGATGTCTATTATATGAAAACGTATAGAAAATTTGTCACCTTGCTGCGTAAACTTTAATACTTTACTCTAATTTTGTTATTATTGTTTTTTTTATAAGTATTATTTATTTTTATTTTGACTTATAATAGTAATCACGAATCAGGTTATTAGTAAATTATTATAAAGAAAATCATCGATACATTTTGTGCAGAAATATGCTTGTATTATCTTCTGTTCTGTACGTGGAAATTCCCAAGAAGTTATATATCTTATTCATATTAGTTAATATATGCAGTTTTAATTTAAGGATATAAAGTTCATACTAAGACATCACATTGGAAAAACCAAACAGTGAGTAATTATGCAATTAAAAATTATCTTTGTACGTATTACAATCGAACCAAATTGTTTGACCCGACAAACAAAGACAGATCATCTAAGTGGTGAAAAGAAAAAGAGATAAAAGATAAAAGAAAAAGAGAGATAAGATAAAAGAAGAATATATCAAGACTTTTAGTCACAATTATTAAGGAGTAAATAAAAAGACATTCTATAGTCGTTAATAAGAGTGTCATGAAACAAACACACAAAGCGACACACACGCTCTCTAGTGTAGTTGCATCCGCTATCTTACTTTCATCATAGAAGTCGCGTGCACAATGAATGTTTATTTTCTGCAAATACGAGCAGTTACTGAGAGAGATACGCACGGCAAGTTTACTTGACCGGTTATTCAACCTGAATAATTTCTTCTTATAATATAAAAATAGATATTAGACATAGCTTAATATAAATGTACTATAAAATCTATCTATCTCTTTCGTAGTTCATTTCTACCGTTGGTTTCAATCGAAAAGACACTATTTGTTGTCTTTGTTTTTTGGAAAAGAATGTAAGGGATATCAATATTTTTATGTGCAGGTGGTGCTGCAGTGAAAACCCACCATCAAATGAAAAGTTCACGCAGGTCTCTACTGGTTTAATAAAATAAATTTGAATTATTACAAGTTAACAACTGTTTGATCTTTAAAAAAAAATAGGGTTGTCTATTACACAAAAATGGTTACCAAAGTTTTAGTTCATATCGATTAATATAATAAAAAAATATAGTGTAAATACAGACTAAAAAACATGTTTTTCTTTAAAATACAAGAATGAAAAGGCCATTTTAAATTGTGTTTTTATTCGCATGCTTACTAAGAGGATTAACATAAAAACAATTAAGCAATGCAAAAACAAACATCAGGGTTCTTAACTAATAAAATAATTTGCATGTAATGGGTTGTTGCCCTTAGGGATACAACAGTTCTGAAAAGTCATTTGTATGCGAGATACATGCAAATTGAAGATGTAATACGTAAGATTTAAAGTTGAAATCTCTTTTATAATGGTTAATACGAGGATAGTAATTCCAGAGACGTCCATATATCGTGATGTTATGTGCATGTTACCGACAGATTGTCAACTCCGCCTTTTTATAGTTTGCCTGGCTTGCAAATTGTAACAAGTGCATGAGCAATTCGCCTAGAGCATTATGAGCATATAGGACGAATTCATTCACAAAGTAACACCATTCACGATGCTACATGGGCGCCGAATGATTTAACAATTATTTTACAGAAATGTCGCAATTTCATTCATCATTTAATAAATAATTGTATATCTTCTTGTCACATGTCACTCTTTACAGGCACTTTTCCCAGGCAAATTACTAATTGGCGGAATTCATGACTAGTGGGCAACATTTATATTATCAAGAAGAGTTGATTTATTCTGTAGATAGGTCACGTTGTTTCAGTCGCCGGTCATTAAGGAGCTTATTTTAGAATTACTAGAGTCGCGTAACAATGTTAACTGGTTTCTTTAAGTCACAGAAAACCTTTACCTTTAGTAAAGGACGGTGGAACAAGTAAAACTTGTTGAAGCAAAAACAAGGTGTAAGAGTTTTATATGATTCATAGAACAATCATTTACACTTTAAAAGGATATACTTCCTGGGTAATTGTTTACTCTTTTGTTATTAAAAAATATAAGTTCATAAATAAGCAACGCCCATAGACATCCGTGTTACTAGAAACTGAACATGCAAAGCCAACCTTTGTACTTAACCCTTATGTTCATTTTGTATAGTATACCATACACTGAAACGTATGTATGAAAAAATATACCATCACGATGGATGTTGGAAGGTGTTAGAACATAGTCTGAAAGAACATGTAAGTGATTTTTTAATTCTGCGCGGACGAAGTCACGGGCGTCAGCTAGTATTTAATAATTATCACATGTTAACAGTAAACTTTAGACAATGGTCTTGTACATTTTCACGTGAAGTGCAATGCACATGTGCCCGACTTTCCAGTCTGACCTCATCGTCAAATGTGCGGGTTTCTGTTACGCACCGCTTGACAAATGGACTGTGATAATCGACGTTTCTTCGTCGATTTCTATTCGCTATTTAACACATTAATAACTTAAAGAAGTATTATAAATAAACAAACAAAATCAGTTGATCATACAAGTATATTCAGGTATATTTATTTATTTTTTATCTTTTAAATGCCACGAAATTTTTCCAATGTTTATGTAAACAAACTTATTCGATTAAATATTACTCCTGATTCACATACTTCGCAGTCTCTTTTTGAGTTGCTCCAAAAATATTAACTAAGACGGCGGCTAAATATGGTCCAATAGATTACGAACAACAGGATGTTTAAATAATAGATACTAAAAATACCACAAAAGAATTAGGTTATGCAATACTAGTGCATGATGTATACTATACAATCAAGGTTTAAAATACACGTTTATTGCACATGTGTTCAGTCGTTACTGAGCGAGCTATCGTGTTTGGTGAAGGTGTACGATCAAGGCGTTCTGTGAGACGGAACAATCGACGCTCCGGAACGTCCGCCGATACGGAACCGTACAGTTATCTCATATCGCACCTTCCTAATGTACATCGACTAGACAACGCTGTATATCTAGTACTTGATTTGGCACGTCAGAAACAAAAGTACTCTTCTGGCTGACGTGCCAACTTAAGCACGAACCATACATTGACCAAATTTGGAACTATAGTATTCTTCTGTCTTATTCAATTATTACTATACTTATTAATTGTAGCTACCAATTGAACATATTTCGATAGATCCACATAACAAATCTTATGTATAAAATTCTCGTGTCACAATTTTCGTTCCCATACTCCTCCGAAACGGCTTGACCGATTCTCGCGAAATTTTGTGAGCATATTGAGTAGGTCTGAGAATCGGCCAACATCTATTTTTAATCGCGGACGGAGTCGCGAGCGACAGTTAGTAAGACTACAAAGACTAGTTCGTCAGAAATCTATCTTCACTTTCATATGTTGTAGACGTAATTGTGACAACTTTCGCCATCGCCAAGATTCTTTTTGTCCATTCATTCATTGTGTAAGCATTGTCATTATATATCAGCCATTGACATCTAGTTAAACAATACATTGAGCAATGCTAGTAATTTCTAGAAGGTTAAAACTATATTATTTACAGATATGTAAACAATACATCTCAACTACTATTCTGAGAGACACTCAGTGTTTACTATTGAACAATATTTATTAGAAACGCGTTGACATCATACGGCATTTTGGTTAAGGCATAGCTATTACTTTTATAGATAGCATTTTATTTAACATTTATTTAATCTATCCAAAGAACGGAAAATAATTACCAAATTGCTTAACGCTCAACACAAATATTATTTAGTTAGCAGAAGACCTTGACAACTTAAGGTAAGCGTCCATTGGCGCGCGTCGGAAGCTCCGCACGCGAGGCACGCAACAGATTTTAGTTTGCTTTTTATCATTTATTCCGTGCGTACGATGCGGGCCAATGGGCGCGTACCTTTATAAATCTCAACGAAAAAAAACCCTAAACAATAGACAATCGCCAATGTGATCAAAATGTAAGGAGAACGAAGCAATGTGTACCACTTTCACCCGGGCTAGAACGTGCATTCGATAAAGTTGCCATACACAAACTACGTTAAACGGCATACCAAATAGTACGGCCGATATAATTTTTAGCAGCGACTACAAACTTATCTTGTACGGTAAACATCAACTGAACTGAACTTACGCTGACCGTTTGATACTATCTCAATCGATAACTTAATCGGTTCGTGTATGGCAGGATAAAGCTAGTGGCAGATCACTCGTTCTGCTACTAACCAATTATAATGCTAATACGTTTGATTATCGATTGCTCAATTAACGCGAATGTTATTTATCATACATTCCAGATGCTTACGTTAGGCGCGATATTGGAAAGTCTTGTGGAATTTATACATTAATACTCGTACACTTAAAAAATATTTCATTTTAAATATTATTTTTATATATGCCAGAGTATAGCAGCTCCACCAAAGAAATTACGAACGTTGTTCGATAATATTATAATAATTAAATTAAAGTATTAAATACATTTAAGTTTCTTTCTAATAAGCCTCTTCTCTCAATGTTCTTTATCGAATACCACATGCTATATTATACAAAATACTACACATTAATATCCCTACTAACCTATTATACCATTTAATTTATTGTCATTATTTCGTGTTTAAAAGTATAAGTATAAAATATTTTTTTCTTAAGTATAGCATAAAGTATGGTTATTAATATAATAACACTTTATAGTATTTAATTGCATACGTTTTGTAATTATATCATAACTATATGGTAACTTACCACACTTTACAACGATTATTAATGTAATGCAAAGGACCTATACTCGAGTAGATCATGTTCGAGGATGTTCTATGAACGTTACACATACATAACTGCAATTTATACATATAAGTTTAACCCTTTTGTACACAAGGCAACGTAAAATTCGAAACTAATATTGTACCTATCATTGCGTCGCGAGTATTCGTCGTCGGTGAATCATTGATGCGAGTCATCTATTCGATCAGTGCATAGCGACTATAGATCAATGGTATTGATTTGCTCCGCCGTTTTGAAAATCGTGGCAACGTTTGCAACAACAATTGACAAACAGCGTTCGAATGGCACAGGCATCGAAAGAACAAAATATCGGCGACTCAACTACTCGATATAACTTTATCTATTAGTTCTTGTACTCACCAGCATAGGTATGTTGGGGACAACAACAACGTCGTCGTCCGGTCCGGCGCTCATGTCCGGCTGGAAGGTGTACGTTCGCTTGTAGTGGAAGGAGAGCGTCCCGTTCTCGTTGTCGGTTATGTTCACCTTCTCCCACTCCTCCCTGTTTACAAACGGTTTTTTTAATAGTATAAGGCTTTGCAAAAGGTAAATGCTTAGGACAAGGAACATTGTTATAACTTGATAAATATGTTTATTAACGAATAACCTACCGTTTGACTACAATCTTACTTCATGTTAAATGGTATGGTTCGTAATCAAGGTAGGCGCTTTGTGTATATATATCCTTAAAGGCATCCTACTCTTAAAGGCTCCTAAGTATTATTCGATGTGAACACTAACACCGGCACATTCCATACTTTTGTTTTCCGCATAAGGAACATGTATGGAGATTTTATAAATTTTTGGGGAAAAAAAATCATTTCTTTGGTGGCATGCAATGTTTAAATAACATATATAATATCATTTAGTCCTTGTTCCTATCTTCTTATTAGAAAGAATGATTTATTATAAAAATATATAAGTGCAGAGTCGTACGAGCTATCGGACATTAGATTTATATATCACATAACACGCAATATCGCGTGATATATGTGCAATTGTTCTAATGACAATGGGTTGACATAACATATAAAAAAAAATCAAATTTAATGATTTTTACACAATAACAAGAAACATGAAACAACTTTTTATTAAGATTGATATTTAAAAAATCAATATTACAAGGAAAACGTAAATCACAAAAGTAATATTTCTTTGATTCTGTTTTCTCTACGAGGAAAACACAGTATTTTCGAAGCAAATCATTTCCTTCATAACCCAAGGTCGATTGTTTTTTTTTTACAATTAGTACAAAAGCTATAAAATCATGTATTATTTGTTGTAACTTTAATTGCTAACTAAATCGTTCATTAACATAAATAACTTGGTAACTAAGTAAAGTTTAAATACTTATTAAAATAAAACTGGATTTAAGAATTACTTTTATAGTTACTATTAAAATATAATTAACTGAAAAATTGAGTGTTTTACTTCTTCTACTTACTTCTTATACACGGAATACGTGAGAGCAAACAGTAAACAATTGTAATTAGTCATGCGTGTCTCGCTTTTATCTTAAGTAAGCACGTAACACAAACTGCAATAACTACATCTACAGTGCTTCAGATATTATAATGAATTTACTATAAAAAGAACAATAACCGCTAACATCAATATTTTACTTAACGGGAATTCAAGATTTCTTTTCATGAATTTGTTCAAACAATAAGTCAATAAAAATTAATAAGTAACATACTATACAACATACATTTTAAGCTATATTTTTAAAGATTTTTTTCGTACAACTCATTTAAAACTTTAATAGTTTCCGAGGATCTTCGCTAGTGCTATATTTTTTTCTTCAAATTGGACCCATGGAGTCATTTGGGTCTACTTAGACTACTTTCTGAAGCACGAGTTAAGTTTTTTTTAATATTTAGGTTTAAATATTAAAAGTCGTAAGTCACCGAGTATCACATTTAACGCAGTATTACAGTTGCATATATGGTACGCGACGATGACGCAAGCGCCCCCTAGCGGTGATTAGTTCGGTAATAAATTACAACACATGTGATATAACACTGCTTGCGATATTACAGCAACAATACTATCGTATTGAAAAGACAACCATATCGATTCCATATGGTATTAGCTTCATTAGTTCAGATGTGTCTACAGGGTGTCCCAAAATGTCCCATGTGTAAGCATTTCACACCATTTTTATCATTGAGTCTAAACTGATTGGTAATTTGGATGTTAATATTATCAAGCACCACTAAAAGGCCTTGTAAAATGCATAGAATATTTATAGCTTTAACTTAATCTTCTATTGTTTTATTCAATTAATCATTAATAATTACATTTAACGGTTATTCAATATTCAAGAGGAAAGTATTGTTTCTAAGGTACAACACAATGAGACATCAACCATCAAATTATATGACTTTTCGATGAGATACTTACGAGTAAACGTATGGTCCAAGTTCATCGAGTATGGGCTTGGATCCGTTGTTGAGGAATTCATCCGCGTTGGTGACATTGTAGACGTATACGTTGACGAAGGGCCGCACCGGTGGTCGCGCCCACCACTCGAACGTCATCGAGCCGGGGCGGAGCACCAGCTCCTGTTATAAACAAACAACTAGTCAAATTGACATACAATGACTTATAGTTGGTTTTTGAGGCCAAAATCTTGCCTGACCACACAGAGATAAAAATATGTTTCATACAGGGAAAAATCCCTGGTAAAGGCTTAGAAACCAACGATTACGGAGACAATACTAGTAACCAAGGATAATTAGGTTTAAAAATATAAAGGTTTGGTAACTCGTAGTTCATTCCACAGCCGAAAAAGCCTGTAAGATATTTTTATACTTCTCTTTAGGCAGTGGAGTTACATGGATATGTAAATATATTTTAAACTACAAAATAAGTATTTCAGTTAACAAAATCTTTAGAAAAAACAATTGAGTGTCATGCCCAATAAATCAAGTCATAGTAAAAATGTATGAATGGGCTCGTAACAAAGTTCCGAACCGTTATCTGCCTACGTCACAGTGAACGGTTTATCGACGTATAAACTTAACTAACGCTTAAACTGGTAAATATTTAGGTGAAGGCGAACTGTCGAGCGGCCGAGCGACCATAATTGCCGATTCGCACCGCTTTGCGAAACTAAAATATCTAACAACAATTGTTTCTAACAAACAGTACACGAGATGTATGAATGAGATTAAAGAATTTATTTTTAGCACGAGGCATGCGAAGTTAACACTACTCATTGTTATTGCATGAGAAAGTTGTATATTAAATATGACCCTATAACTAGGTTTATTGTGTACAAATTTGTACACTATTGTATACTTTTCTAAAGCTGAAACTTTATGTATTATTGTATTATATACATATATTCCATCGTAACAGCTCTATGTATTTCTTCTCTAATCGCAACAAATGCATAACTTAGTAGTTAACCTCGAAAATTCAAGTTGTTTAGAACGATTTCTTTTGTACGCTTCTGTACGCAATTCGCGTAGAAATACGTATAAGTAGTGATTTCACGAGCCAATGAATCAACAAACGCTATGTTAGATCTATCGCCGTTGCGAATCTTTTGCCTTTAGTGGAAAGTGTGTCAATGACCTTATATAAATATATGAGTTTTTGACATAAAAGCGTAGGATTTGATTAATATCTTTAAGACGAAACTACCGTTGCTTAAATTTTATATTTATTCATATACTTAATTCGCATGTGTATTCATAAAGAATAACGTACATTGTTATACATAACATTTGGAACAAACATAGCGAAGTATAGTCCAACAGGGATATCTGAGCCGATGAGAGGGGCTGCTGTACCCGTTAGTCCTGTCAAAGGATATAGAAAATGACATAAAAAATAATATGACAGCTACAGTACGAAAATGATCTTGTGACAATTTTTTAATTAACAGGAGGGCGCTATTGAGTTCTCCTAACTTCGTTTATCTTATGCCCACTCGATCAGATAGCCTTGTCGTTATCCATACAATTTTATTGAAATTTAGTAACTAATAATACATATTTATTATAAAGTAATAATGTCTAAAGAATTTAAGTAGTTTTTTTCTAATATAAATACTATAATTTATGAGGAAGAATTGGCACAGCATGGTAATTGACATTCCAAGTAATTTACTAACTAAATTTATTACGACAAATTTAAATCTTTTATGTTCTATATTTCACATAGCTTAAATCCAAATTGGTTCATATTAATATACTTACAAAATACTTTGTTTACATATTGTCGAAACTAATATAATATTAATAGCCTATTCATTTCATTTATGTAAAACTATTCAAAATTAACAGTTTAGGTGAAGGCTACCTTACAACATATGTAGGTATAATATTACCAATTAAAATTAGAAATGGAAAATTTTATCGATTTCACACAAACAGCCATACTCACGAGTACCTAACAGTACGTTATTGGATAACAATTAAAAGTAGTAGGATTCGTAATATGAATTTTGCCACAATGTCAAATTGTTACTCGTAATAAAATAGTTAGTAAATAAATTTCTTACCCGAGATCTTTAACGATCTTAAATTTATCTAGCCGTTATTATTATTTTTTTATTTAGCTAGGGAAGATTTATTTAGAAGGTAGGTGGCGTTGTGGCTAGCCATTCGTCGCGTTCCGTCTCCCGGAAGGGCGACAAATGGATTGCTGAGGTTCGTTTGGCCACCGCAAATAGAGGTCGGTAGTCTTTGCCTACGCCTTTAGGTTACGGGCATTGTTTTAACGACGTAAACTGAAAACTATTTCAATTTTTGCATATAATTGTTAAAAAAAATTCAACTTACGTGATCTATAAATAGCTTGACCCATGATGAGAAGAATATTGCACATATTATGCCCAATAATAGTAGCACTACGGCGGAAGCCAGCACGAACCCTGGAATAAAAAAAAACATTCCATTAATAAAAACCATATCAATCGGCTCCTACTTATAAAGTAGTAACTCAAAAATATCATTTTTTACCCAACCATCTAAAATTTACTATTTCAAAGTCTCATAATTAAAACAAAATATTTTGACAGAAATAAAGATCATGTTTAGCAGAGTTACAAAAGCACGAAAATCATTTTGGTCGAAAACAAGTTATATCATCATACGTGCGACTAGTATATTTGTTTCTCGTACAAACGTTCAAAGCGTTTAAACATTTCGCACTGATTTATTTATATATGAATCATCATCGAGTAATGTTTAGAGAGTGTAGAGAAACGACTCAATTTGATAAACACAGCAACACCGACGTACGCACTACATACTCGGTTTTCCTTACGGAGTCGCTTCGTCGAAACTCAATACGTGATAATATTTTCCAAACACCAACGTTCTACGTACGAATATGTTTTTGAAAACATGTCGATTATTACACGATCAAGTGATTATAGACTTAATGGATTTGTAATTAAGTTGAAATTTGGATGTTTATATATTATTGACCCTCGTAATACGTTTATATCAAAAATAATTTGCTTTTTACAAGAATTTAATTAAAACAGACAATAACAATTGATGCTTTGTATTTTTTGTATAGTGAGAATGCATGTAATTAGCAATTCGTAATCTTTTTAACAAGGGTTTAAGTTTAAGATTTAATTGTTACAAGTCACTGACGTTTAAATCTTTTCCTTGGCGTAAGGCAAAAAAGTTTTTTTTAAGTTTTTTTCTTTATCAGCTTTGAGATTATGCTCAGTTTACTTTATTCGAGAGTTGCGATCAAATCAATCGCGATTACGTTTCAATGTGGGTTTAGTTTTTTCTAGATGTAATCGAGCGCTGGATTCGATTTCTTGACTGGAATAATGTAAACTAGACATTAAAGTAGTCTTATTATAATTTTGTTCCAATCATCGCATAATAAAACGTTATTACATAACAGGTTACATTAAACGTGTTTTGGTATTTATTTCTAAGAGATAAGGATTTTCAAAAACCAGTAACAATTAAATGATAAAAAATTAAAAACATGTTAAAATAATCAGCTTAGAAAACATTTCATTTAAATTAAACTTCGAATTATTTTCACGTATCGTAAATAAAATTGTTCATTTTGCTAATAATAACAAACAGTCTCGCAGAAACAATGTAACAAGATCTTTTTTAAAAACAAAGTTTGCATAGAATTATGTGGCTTATAAGCCACCTAAAGATTAGCCAATTAATGTTGAAGCGGTTAAGAGTGGGCACTTGGATTTCCACCACCTTAAAATGTAGACTGTTTAGATTATAAAAGACAAGCTGTCGTCCACGCGGTAAGAAAAAAACCTAAGTTTTCTTCTAGACTATATTTTACATCTTTGCCAAATTTCAGGAGAATCCATGCAGCCGTTCTGGATATATTCACATTTAAAATATTAGTAACAAAGTAAGATAATGCGAATGTTTGGATGGATGGTTGTTTGAAAGTATCTCAAGAACGGCTGCATGGAACTCGCTAAAATTTGGCAAACATGTAGAACATAGCCTGGAAGAACACATAGGCTACATTAGGTTTTTTTTAATTGCGGACGGAGTCGCGAGCGACAGCCTTAAAATATAAGTAACAAAGTAAGAAGTAAGATATATCGATTTGAAATCCGTAATATCTAACCCTGTTAGTTACGGCCGTGAGTCTCATATCTGTATATCTGAGCAAAAACATTGATGTCTTGTCTAACTCAATTTCACTTGAACTTTCACTGTCACCGTCCCGTCAGTCATATCTTAACACAAACCACATGTAACATAGCGTGTTACATGTGGTTGTACATCCAATATACAATGTGTTGGTACATCCAATGAACGATTAAACAATTTCAACAAAAATAACAAGTGATTTTATAATATTCCTGCGATTTTTCAAAGAAAAAAGGTATGAGAATAACTCTTTGTAGACATATTTCGGCAGTGGAAACTAACGAATACAAATATACAGTCACTGATTATGTCCTATAGTGGACTGAGTCAGGCTGATGATGACGAAACTCAATATTAATGGCGCTTAAGTAAATCTGATTGCAAAAGAACGGAAACGACAATGACTACAATTAATTACTATTAGTTTAAAATAATGTTTAAAACCACCTAAATAAGGTCGAAAATTAACATCCTACGATTTATATCGTAATAATAAAGCTAATTAAGTTACGGTGAAATATATAATACGTTTTTTTTAATATTTTTACAATCGCTTTGCATCCAGATTTTACTTATTATTGTTAAAACTCATAGATAGAAATTTAATACTTTTGTAACAAAGATTAATATTTTTCTTGATTGTCTATTTAATAGTATTTTGATAGTTATCTGTGATATACGTCTGGTTTGAATACTTCAGTTGTAGACAGTAAGCCAGTCCGGTGAATTGCGTCAAGTACATTAGAAGGTCCCTTCACTATTATAAATAACGTTAAGGGTTACTTCCACTACTGAAATGAATGAGCATTGTTACGGTTTGACTATACATTTGCGATTTATAAAACACTAATATAAAATATTAAACATTTTTTCTTTTTAAACAATCAGGAAACAATATGATATTAAACTACCAAGTTATTCAATAATAACTATAAGTTATTAATAAAAAATAAATACTCACTGTACTCGTATACAATTCCGTGGAAAAATACAAATGCGTTTTAATTATTTGAATTAAAAAAAATGTAGCGATGAAGTCCAAACCGTTGCTTGGCAACGGATGATGTTATGGAACATTTAATCAGGAACATTTAAAAAGTACGTGGATGTTGCATACAACATATACATCTAGATGGTACAATGCTACTTCTGAATGGATGGTGTTATTTAATAATAATAAAGTTATAATTCCGGGAATTAAAAAAAATTAACATGATACGTGATATTATTTAATACCGGATACGAACAGACGTGCTGACACTACAGCTGAGCAAGCGGCAGATGCAATCAATAGCGATTGTTCAGATAAACCATTGTGCGATACCGATGCGTGTTGCCAAGGTCTTTTTGGAGGTTCACCAACCATTTTGTCAGGTTAAATTAAACAAAATACGCTTATACGTGTAAAAACTTACCACTGCGTTTACGAAGCGAAACAAATAACATTCAACACAATGCTATACTCTAGAATAATTCGATATCTTTCCTGGACTAAGGGGCCTTTGGCGATGAAACAATTTCCAGTCCTCCCTCTTTTCTTCCATTCTCTTTACCTCCTGATGCGACAAAATGTCCGCTTTTTGCTTTATCTGTGGAATATTTTATTCTTGGTCTCTCTCTATTTCTTTCCCCTCCTATTTTCCTATTATTGTGGTTATAAGGTCGACGTGTCGTTTTAGATTTTCCAATGTCAAGTAAAAAGTTATAATTTTTTTTTAAATGTCGATCAAATATGTCTACCGAGAATTAAAACATCAAGAACACAATTGAATTTATTGTGCACTTTATCAATAAGAATGAATTACTTTAAGAGTATGTTACAAGGTTACGCTTTATTCAAAACGAGAGCATTCTGTATGACAAGATTGTTGTTATGAATAACAATATTTTATTCACTACCTACGTAAAAAGTAATAACTGTATAATCTGTATCATCTTTACACTCCAGATATCTTGACCACTAATTTGACTGACAACTGCAATTCAAAAATACGTATTCAATATCTACCTAATCTACCGTTTGAGACCCGATAAAATTATGTTAAATTAAATATAAATTGCCAAGACAAATTTACAACTAGTGTTGTTTTTTTGAACACAATTAAATATTATTTTGTATCAAAATTAATTGATTCTCTATTTTCTTCCCTGCCAAACTGTATACCGGAAAGTTACTATTTCACGCCCGCATTCCCAGCTGGGTTATACATACAAATTTACATAATATCTCACAAATTACTAAAACTCATACAAAACAAGGTACACTTTAATTTATTAAGGTAATGGGTCTTGCATTCGTGACCCACTGTTACCACAACCGTAGTTTCTTACCGCAGATTGTCTGTTGCATTCAAGATCTTTATTGGGGAAAAAATACGACAAAAAGAGACTTCAAAAGTTACGAAACAGCTCTTTAAATAATAGAAAGTGGTTCTTCTTTGGCCAATATCTTGTCGAATTCTGCTCTAACAAACTATAAAAGTAATATTAACAAACTCTCAACTATATTTATAATATAAGCGATTCGTAAGCATTTATATAATTATCATAGGAACACATTAATGCAATTGTTTATTCTTACATTTCAACACACTATATGAATATTTTGAAGATGAGTTGCGTAAATTTTACATTCACTTGTCCCTTGCAGCGAATTCTTTGTACCGGAGTGTTGCAATAGTTGCATACTTTAATTATTAAATTACGTTAATTTATTCCATTAAATTATTACTCAATCGACACTAAAAATAACTAACGTATATGTATCATTATTTGATTATGATTAAAATATAATTCAATAGAATTTAAAATTGCAATGCCATTTCTGGAAATGGATTCCAAGTTTTTTACGAGATGTGATAGAAAGTTAGGTATAATTTTAAGGAGAAAGTAACACTATCACTTCTAGAATCTGACTGACGACGATATTTTTAGATATTATTTTAATCACTTAATACTGGATAGTAATCGAAGGTCGGAATTTCTATTTCACGCTACCGCAAACACGATATTCGGAATATTTTGTACGTAAACGGGTTTAGTTACGTAAATATAACACGTGGACACTCACTTATCCCCCTGTTATCCTTCACACGTTCAACATAACGAGACAACTGGACTTTCAGCGCCATAATTTAAGTTTAACGGTATCGTGTATTTTCGATAGTGGCGGGAATCAGATCGCCATTTTGAAACAGCGGGCGCGCCGGCGCGAGAGCGACTGGTCGCCGTGCGCCGTGCAAGTAGGTTTTACTCGTGAAAATTG